TGAGTAGGAGTACAGAGGTTTGGAAAACCATAAACAGAGATTTAAACAATATTCCAAAACATAAGTTATACCAAGATATCAAGCAATTCATTGACCTTGCCAAGCCTTATGTAGATTTTTTAGGATTATGAATTGAAGGCTAAGAAGAATGAATTCTTTTTTCGATTTTTCTTTTCATATCAACTTAGTCATAAAACTTGAACACATTATGTGTGTTTAAAATTTAAGCAAATAAATAAAAATCAAAGACAAATAATAAGGAACACTATTATTTGTAGAACTAATGACCATTAGAAAAGAAAATAAGGATCTTTGCAAATCAGTATTCAGTAAGTGACATAATGACAAATACATACTCTGAGCAATGCTTGATACGTGAAAAGAGCATTCTAAAATACTCTCTAGTTTCTCAGAAAAAAGCTGCAGAATTAATGAGATAAAATAGTTTCTCTGAATTAGTTTAAAGTTTAACCTTATTTAAAGTAAAAATGGTTTGTTAGAAAACATTTAAAATTTAAGAACAAGATTAACTGAAATTATATTTTTAAAATGTTAGAGATAAACTATGGAGATTATAAAAGAATTTCATTGAGTACCATAATAGCGTTAACAAGTGTAAGAACATCAAAATTAGTGGTAGAAAAATAAAAAAAGATGTGATTTACTGAGCTATATCTTACAGATAAATCTCAAGCCATACGAATAAGCATAAACACACACTGAATAATGGATAGGTAGAGAGAACTAGACTATCGATAATGAAGGAAGTGAAATTATTCCATGTTCAAATGTTCGACTGTTGCAAAACATGTATCGTAGTTAAATCATGGCTGAAGATAAGATGTTGCGGATAAACAAAAAAACAGGTGAGTATCCTAGATTAGGGTCCAGAGACAAAGAAATCATGAAATATTCAAGACATTTCAACACAGAACGCAGTTTTTGGCAAAAGACCTTGTAAAAAGTCATTCATCTGCGAGAAAGTTTTCTAAGACCCTAAGGGTATGTAAGTATGTCAAGAATGGAAAATCTAAAGATCCACAAAAAATGCCAATACCGAACAGTTCCTAAACACTATGATACCTAAATGTATTTTAAATCTGTGAAAGTAATTACTTTGTGAACTTACGCAATATACTAAAAATCCGGACTTCGTTTATTACAAAGAAGTGCCATGAGAATTATATGTGAATAACAGTGAAACACTGATATCTATTAGTCATAAAATGTCTTAAATTAAGTAAAAGTTTTGCCCGGGAAAACAACCGACATAGAAATACAATAATGTGCAACATTAAGTTGGTACATAACTATATTACAGAAAACTTAATAAACATGACTTTTACGTATTATAACGTGCGGAGATAAATGTTACGTAGATAAGTAAAGATGGTTGGCTATTTTTAGTTGCAAAAACAATTAATTATGTCTGCCAGAAGGTGGCTATACTATTATCACTACTATAAACAAAGCCCCACACAGAAACAAATTATAAAAACAGTTAAACCTAATCTATAATTAAGATCATTCATGGACCAATTGTAAAAGGATCATGGAACTCAAGTTTTGTGTTTCCATCCATCTACGGAAGCAATTTTCAAATCGAGGTCCACACGACAAAATTGTATTTCGGGGTCAACAATTTCAGGGTTTAGCTAAGAGGTTCATGATAAAATATTATTAATAAAATAATTTAATACTAATAATAAAATAAAGTGATGTCATAGAAAAGTTCAGAGATTCACAGTTAAAATATGCTCATATTTTATGAAACCTTCTTTAGTTAATGGGAAAAAAATTCTGTCCATAGAAAATTCTCGAAGAAGTATTAATCATTTGAGCAACAACTAATCTACTCACTCAGGCAGAGGTAGTCCTTTCATTATATACCGAATAATCGGTATCGCTGTGGTAAAATTTATTGTGTTACTGAACGTTATTATTATGATAAACTACGTCTCAATAAATACTTACAAGCATTAGGCGGCTCTTGTAGTGAGCAGTAGTACTCTTGAACCTTCTGCGTAAAATAAAATAAAACAATATTAATTTTCAAACCATTTTTAAATTTTAATATTTTTTTTTAAACTTTTATTTTGCGACTTTATTTTCAATATTCAAACTTCTATGTTAACTGCTTAAGGTGTTAACAAGTTTTGTTGTTCTATTTTAACAAAAACCTTAAATGTTAATGTTTCTTGAAACGAACACAAATTAAATTTGAAAACTATATATTATAAATAGACAGTAGATTTTACAAGATTCAAACAACGTTTAATAATTTAATTCTACTATCAATTTAAACATTTCTTAAATCTAGTGCCCCATTCGAGAGAGTTTAGGGGACCACCCTATTTTGAACCTAACTTCAGTGCAGACTAGAAGATTGCTGTCGAAAAGTTAAAACCTATGTAGAATGGAACAGAATCGCGTGAAGTTGAACGCCAACAATTAAGATTACGCTCAAACAATTTGAGCCAGATATAAATATGCTATATCAACACATCAGTCACGGGGTTAACATTAGTAAGGCCTTACAGAGTCCTATTTAATAACATTAGAAATAAATTTGTATATGTTATTGGAAGTAATGTAATACATTTTTTAAACATTTTCTCTGTAAGTAAAAATGTTTCAATTTTCTCAACTAAAATTTTCAAAGTCTGAAATTTGCATTTTTGCAATTATATTGAAACTATTTCATCATTTTTTTAATTAATTACAAATAAATATTTCATTTAAGAGTTGTGAACTGTTTAATTATTAGTTTTTAGTATCTTACGAATAAATATTTGACTTCGGAATATTACATATGCGCATATGAAGAGCCAGATACTAAGAGGTAGAATTCTGGAGGTACACAAACAAAAACCGTTTGTAAGCCGTTGATCTAAGAAAAATGCACAATGCATCGTTTGAAATGTAAAGCATTAATACCTTGAAATTATTATCTAAGATATCAGTATTAAAAACATATAGCAATTCAAAAGTCTCCTAGTAACAAAAGAATTCTTAATGAAAAGGAAGGAAGAAAATGAAATGTATAAAACCAAATGCCAAAATGAAATTAATAGCCCTTTTAAGCTAACGCTCCTTTGGGCTAATAATTCAGTATGCGTGTAATTATTTATTCCCATTTAGTATTTAGATTCATGATTATGTAATAAAATGTACATCCATTGGTTGGTAAGCTTTACTATTACATTAGCTGATATGTATTACTGCGAAGATACAGTTTACGAATGGAATGGCGTTGCTTTCTTTGTACTAGTTTTGTCATGTATACTCAAAATAACTATTGGAAATATGTATACATATCATATTACTGTTTTCAGTGGAAAATTGGAATGTTTTTGTTTACAGACTATTTATTACAAACACTAAAATAATTAACAGTATCAGCTGCTTAAATAATCACTGAAATAATTATAATATCAGCTAATTATATTTTGTATAAGGCTTCATTAATACTTATGAAAATATTAAAGATTTGGTTCTTCGCGAAGTGTTTTTTTCGGAACTTTATGAGATATGTTCATAGTAATTTATGATTTATGTTCAAGAGTTAGTTTTCAAGATAATCAGTTAATCAACAGAAATTTACTCTTTCATAAACATTGCTCAAGCTAATTGCAGTAGATTTCTACCTATTCTGTAACTTATTTGCAGTAGGTCTTTCCTTCATACCTATCTATATATACAAAGAAGAATGTTTGTGTGTTTGTTCGCGATTAACTCAGTCACTACTATAGCTATCGTCACCTAACTTTCTACAATTCTTTTCTGGATTCTGGAAAAGCTCGAAGTACACTTTTTTCTTAAAAAGCTACAGCCAGAGATATTACTTAAAAACGCTAATTTTCTCTCTAATTTTTCCGAGTGGCAACAGTCTCGCACGCTGGAAATAAAAATGAGCTTTATTTCCAGAACTGTTGCCACTACTCGCTTTCAAATCATAGAATTTGTTAATATAAAAACAGCATTGCCAAACATTAAATACATTATTCCCGATACAAAAAAAAAAAAAAAAAAAAAAAAAAAAAAAAAAAAAACAGGTTTGTGTGTAAAAGTGTAGAATTGTACAAATAAAAGTGTAAGAGCTTTGATCTGCTTCCGCTGCGCTGCCGATAGATAAAAAGACTGTTCTTGCCCAAATTACATTAATGGATTGGATTGGATTATTCAGTTATGGCAAAGCACACGAGGGCTATCTGCCTAAAGGGAGGGATGCCTTTTGTAGAGGACTTTCTAAGGGAAACGTAAAGCATTTTAATTTTGTTGTCTGTTTGCTAGATGGTTAGAGATATTAATGGCGATAAATCACTGCGCAGATTAAAAGTAGCACCTTAGTTTTATGGTAATAGAAACGACAAGTTAGAACCCACTCCAGGCGTTTCAAAAGTTACTTCCAGGAACCTTTCCTCTTTTAAGTTTAAAATTTCATCAGTGCTGTCTTTCGAAATTGGCTGAAAATTGCAAGAGGTGTCTTTGTTATTGAAGTTCTCAACAGACTGTTGAAACTAAGCTGCTGACTTAAGAAGTAACGAATTTTCCTTTAATTAAAATGTTCAAGTATTTTCTGGAACTGACTTTAAAACAAGTAAGCAATTTCCTATTTCGGATTTATCAAAGAATTCTTGAATGAAGAAAACACTGGGTTAATCGAATTACATTCTAATGATTCCCTTATGTTTAATAACAACGCCTTTCATGTCGCTTGCCTGCTCAGGCTTCTTTCCTAAAAGAATAAATAGTACCCATGTCCCCAAATAGTAATTTTGGAGAAGTATATGTTTCAGAACAACACTAAAACTTTTCTTTCATATCTTCTTTTCGGTATCAAGACTTTTTATTCTGCTTTCCACGTATGATAATCCGCGCGGTCATAAACGCAATTTAATACCATAATATCTTCATCAAATTCAATGCATTCACCTGTCGCTGGGTGTGACGTCACATTCAGATGCTGAGCTTTTTGCATCCCTAAGTGACGCCATTCAATCATTTTGATTCGCGAACTACGTTCTTTGAGAGATAGGATTTTAAGAAAGAGACATAACTACACTTTTGCTTGAGAAGAAATGGCGTTTAGTAAAAATGTACTTCGGGCGATATGCATTCTCATTATGGGTTTAGCTTCCATAAAAAGTAAGCAGTTATGAGTAATATTTTTCTTTATATAATTTGTTATCGTCTTACTATATTTAAATTCAGATTTAAGATGTTTTCAGAGGAATCCAGTACAGTGGAAAAGTTACTTTATGGCTCGTGAAAAACGAAAATACTCTTATGCTTAGATGATATATTACATTTATGTTTTAAGATATTATAGTCTAAGATTAGCCAGAACATTGAAGCGGAAGATGAATAAAACAGGAGTGAATTTTAGATGTTGAATAAATTTCATATTTCAGCAATTTCTAAAGTGTCGACATAAGTAAATTCAGGTTCTAACTATATTTCTTCCTAAAATATAAAAGAAGTAAGTTGCAGAATGTAATAGCAGGTAAATGCTATTGTACAGCATCATATTTTGGAATTATTTGTGTACCTTCAGAATATAAAGCGCATTTCATTAAATAAATGATATTTGATATTATTCTACTCTTTCTATCGACATAGTTGTAAGCATGAAAATAAAATAATATTCCATGTTTATAACGATAATAAAATTATAAAGAATTTATGAATTTCAGTGTTCAGTGTTTCAATACCTATGTTTGATATTTTTATAGTAGAATAAAATATTTACATTCTCTTAGTTATTTACCTAGAATAGTTTTATTCAAGTAGTCTTTTTGAAATGTTCCTGTTCTGGAGTGTTATTTAAAAGTATATCGATAAATAAATAAATAATTTCTATTATTAGCATCAAAACTGACAGTTAAAGTGACAGTAAGACGATCAGGTTTATCAAATGAACTTACAAAAGATTCTTGTAAAAACGTACTTGCATTTATCACATTTACGAATCCAGATCATTAAATGCGGGATTATAGGAAATGTTTCAAATTTTAAAAGGTACATTTTCTTTAGTCAGAGCTATAATAAAATCTAAAACAACATTTAAGCCATGTTTTTAATAAGATAATTGAATTTTGAAGCATAATTCGTCAAAATTATACATTTCTTCACTAAAAGTATAATTTCACATTAGGATAATATTATTTGCAATTAGGTAAAGCAAATGTTGTGACGACATTAATGCTCCGCCCATCTGCGATGTCAAGACATAATGCACCGCCTACAGCAGAGGGCTGGACATTATTGTAATAAACGTTTCAAAGATTTTTGAATTACTTCAAATCCTAATTAACACCAACCGTTGAAAGGATTCTGAACTGGGAAACACACTCTGTAGAATTCCCATTGAATGCAGTGTTTTTTAAGCCGAATTAAGGTGCATTAGTAAATCAGTTAAGTCTATATGTAATCAATGTTAAGGTGTTACTTTCTATGTTACTTGTACTGATGATCTTTCATATTTATATTCTTTTATGAATATCTTCTTCTGTAATAAATTAATTATTACTTCTCGTGAAATTCTTAAAGATATTTTTAATAAAAGTATTGACGTCATCTTCTCTCACTTGCACAGCCAAAGTGGCAATCTAGCAAATAACAGCGCAAGTGGTTGGCAAAGCAAACTACAAACCGACTTTTAAGAGAAGAACACAATTTCACTGCTTAAGTCATTCTTCAAGAAACCAAGCTGAAATAAAGCAATGAATTATACACAAATTTTTTTACTGGTTTTTTGATTAAATTACTTTTTCCTTCTACTCCTCACAGTCTCAATAAAAAACATTTTTTTCTTCAATTTTGAAAAGACTAAATTTCTAACTGGGCAACGTAATTTCAATTCATATTTGAAGAGATTCGGGTGAGGTCGTACGGATTAGTATTCCTGTAGTTTTGGGTGTGCAAAATGTCGAACGTTTGTTGTTCTATTGTTTAAAGAAAGAAAAGAAATCATTTCTCAGAAAATTTTTTTAAACATTAAGTATATGTTCAAGATAAACTGTCATACTCTTCTTTCTATACATTTATTTTTCTTTTTTCGTCTGTGAATTTGTAATTTTATTTTGTGTTATGCTGTTGTATTGCTTGTTATTTCTTTACTTTTCTTTGTAAGCCTATGTAGCACATAAGGATTTTAACTAATCCTTAAAAAAAAAAAAAAAAAAAAAACACTGATTTGAAATTGATTGAAAATACGCAGCAGAATGGTACAGTATTCCTTGTGTACAGGGAAATAACAAGCTATATGTCAGGTAAAAATATGTACTGCGAATCAAATGATAGTTCGCGAATTTTCTGGGAGTATTTTGCATCGATTATATTATGCCAGAATGTATCTTTATTTTTACATCGCTTTCTTAGTGGCAACATACTCTCAGAGTAGAATATCTGCATCTTCTCCTGAGTTCACAAGCACCATTTTTGTAATGTTAAACCATTAACTAAAGTATTTGATCTCTAAAAGTGTTTTCTAAATTTTCAACTAACGAATCTTTAATTGTTTCTTAAAGTGGATGTCAATATGAAACGTGTTATGGGAAAACCGATTTAATGATGCTTTATACAGGGTGGGGTAAATAAAAGTGGCTTGGAAAACAGAGTAACACCGTTCTTCGAGCCACTTTTATTTGCCCCACTCCGTATTTCACATCATCGATTAGGCTAGAAATCTAAATGAAATCGATAAGTTTAAATACAGATACATTTCTCGATTATGATATGTAGTTGTGATAAAATTTTTGATGCAAAAAATCGGTCCTAATAATAAACAAGATATCCGTCTTTGAACTAATTTTAAGAAATCCTGTGATAGTAGATATGAAAAAAAGTACAATTGCTTTAAAATTAGGTAAAATTGAATAAAAAATAATTAGTTATAATATGTTTAATGTAGATATTAATACGTACCATCATGAACCAATGGTGTTACAGATTCAGTGTTTATATTATATCAAAACCTGTATCTAAGTTTTAACGAATTTCTTTCAAAATAACTTCAAAGAACTTTGTACCTGTTTCCTCTCCACATCTGTTTTCAAATCACTAAATTCTAGTTGACATTTGAAATAATAGTGCTCAATAACCACTTAAACAGCATAATTTTATCTTTCAACAGTTCAATTTAAGAACGTTTTTCAAATGCTTTCCCGTAAGATGGTCTAATAGGGTGTCCTAACAAAAGCGCCGTATTTAATATGTCCATTAAAATAATTTTATTTTTAGAAAATGGAAGATATTTTAAGGTACTTGCAACAGATAAATGTTCTGATTTAAGAATAATGTATAGCATATGTTCCCCATGACTTACTCTGCGGCAGCACCCTCTCCCAATGAAATTCGTAATTAATTTTAAATGTAACTGCCTATCGAGGTAGGATAATGATGTATTCAGGTTCTTCTTAATTGATTTTGCTGTTTCTCTTTAAAATCGGATTCCTTGGGACTTTCGATAACACCGCAATGCAAAACAGGGATGTTTAAACAGATCGGCTAGATCGAGAGAATGGTGATTTAATGCCTGCTGTCGAACCTGTGCCCTCAAATTTATTTATCAATTATTTTTAGTAGTTTGATTAGGAGTAATTTTACGTCCAAAGACTGAAAGAAGTTTTCAAATACCCTGTGCATAACACTTGCCATTCGAGAAATGAATTTTTATAATCAAAAGTCACTGTTCCTATCTATGCGGTCTAAATTGCAACGAAGCTGCGAAATGAATTGACAGTGATAGAATGCTGGTGTTACCAGGTTAAATCACACACGACATTCTTAAATCGACATATTTCGCTACTGTAATGCCTGTTCTAAAAATGTTCCATTTTAAAGTTTTTCTTAGCTAATTATGGCAAAGCACACTAGAGCTATCTGCCTAAGGTAAGGGATAGAATGGAAAACTTGATCGTATGCCCGTTACACATGGGAAAAAGCACGAAAACGGCAGTGCAGCCATCCGTTAGCTTGGATTCCAACCCAAGTCGGGTGTGTGTGTATTTAATTACGGCAAACCACACTAGGGCTATCTGCCTAAGGGGAGGGTTGCCTTCGTGGAGGACTTTCTAAGGGAAACTGGCTCGTATACACGTTACACATGGGGAAAACCACGAAAACACCCATGCAGCCAGCCCGTTCGCGAGATTCGAACCTCGGACCGAACTACCAGTGTTCAGCGACTTTACCGCTCGGCCGCTGGTGGGCCTCCAACCCAAGTCAGAACTACCAGTGTTCAGCGATTTCACCGCTTGGCCACTGGTGAGTTTTCCATTTTTAAGAATAAAGCACTTTTTTTAATCATATTAAATACGTCACTTTTTTCGAACACCCTATCCTTTTCCCAAGATTTACAATTAACTTTATATTTTATATAAATTCCAGTTTACCAAAGTGCTGGCAAAACAGTACAGTGGAATGGGTAAGACCAGTGATGAGTTATTAAATTTTTAGAATGGGCACGCAATTAAAAACAAAATATCAAATTCTGCTAGCCTATTTTACGTTTTGAGAAGACAAAAATTACAAATGCATGAAAAAGGAAGAAAAAAAAAACCTTTAAAATTATAAAATACCATAGAAATTATCTAAACTACCGAGTAAATTTAACTATGTGGGATAGTTTATATTTGAAGCTCCCACACATTATTTTCTTCTTTCTCATTAGTTGGTCTCAGGAGCTTTTAAGGCTGAGCGATGATTTTTCAAAGTAGGTTTTATATATCCCATTAACGTAAAATATGTTGTACACTCAAAGAAGATATTCGTCTTAGGAAATATTGTTCACTGCGCAATTTCAGTGCTTATAATAGCGACAGCCTTTATAATGATTTTAATTTTTTTGCATAAAGAATTTCGTGACGCAGTTTTCCTTTCGAAGGTCACCTGAAAACGTATAAATACCAATAAAAGGTATTTCACGCTTTAATATGAAATTTAATGTTTGCATCATTTTTCTTTCTTCTTCCACGCTCCATGTCACACATAGCACACATTAAAAATCCCTTTTCTGAGCTCTTCAACATTTTTCTTTCTTGTTTTGTGATTGTTTTGATGAAGTAATCAATTTTATAAAGGCTTTACTAGACAGTTCAGAAATTTTCTTCCGATAATTTGTAAAATTTATTCTTATCCTCAAA